CAATTGGAAGAGCGTAGTCGATGTCACTGAACTGTGCATGTAGAAATTTTTGAAATAGTGTATCTTTGGCTGTGTATATTTTCACCAAACAAAAAAAAAAAAGGTCAAGGGAGAGGGTTGACATGTTGTGGGGTTGTTAACCAATGTCATAAAACAATATGTGTACTACTGTTTCATGAGAAACTATTTGTTCTGTAAGCCTTCAACTGAAGTACAATTAAAAAAATAATCAGAATAACATAAAAAAAAAAGATTACAGCCTTGGAAACTCTGTGGGGCAGTTCTACTCTGTCCCATAGGGTCTCTATGAGTCAGAATCAACTCCAGGGCAATGGGTTTGGGTTTTTTGTGTGTGTAAAGGTGGGGGTTGGAGCGCTTATACCATGCAGCACTGTTTTAAGGTCGGTATTAAAGGCAGTCTGGGTTCTCTTGACTCACCCAACCCACCCTATCCAAGTGTGAAGGCAGGTTTGGAAAATGAGCCCCAAGAGAGAGGATGCTTCTCCCTAAAGCTCCCAACAGCAGAGCTGGTCTAAGACACTCTCTCCATGCCTCCTTTAACCTTTTAAGTCTCAGACCCACACCTGTGCGCCGGTCAGAGGGAAGAGGAGGAAGATAAGAGGGAGCATCCAAAGACAGGCTTCCTCCATGTGGATGGAGATGCTTTTAACTTCTCCCGTCTTCCCCTGAAGGCATCACTCTCGCTAAGCAGGACCGCTCACCCCTGCCTGGAGCTCCCCCAGAAATCAGAGCAGCGTTTCTCAAAAGGTGGTCCAAGAATTGTGCAAAGGGCTGATTAAACACGGAGCCTTTGGGTGGTGCAAGCGGTTAACCCGCTCAGCTGCTAATCGAAAGGTTGGAGGTTCAATCCACCCAGAGGTGCCTCCACTTCCAAAAAATCAGCCACTGAATACCCCATGAAGCACAGTTCTACTCTGACACGCATGGGGTCTCCATGAGTCAGAACTGACTCAACGGCAACGGGTTTATATTAAACACAGACAAATGGGTTTCTCTACTGCTAGTCTCTTCACAGCCTTCAAGGTGCTGCTGTGTCTTTGAAGAGGAGTGAGGTGTGCAGGACCTCTCAGACTTAGTGGTCCATGGGAGCATCCCTCCAAGCAGACTCTCAGAATCCCAACAAAACTTTGGGGACTGCAGTGTTAGGCATGGCACCAACACCACCCATTAGACCTACAACCCAGTTCTTGTCTGAGAGCTGCTCAGAGGCTTTGAAATGACTCCAATATAGCTGTTCTCCGCCATCATGGATTGCTTTGATTTGCCAAACCCTTGGCGTTCTGAGGGCACCTGCCTGGCACTTCAGCCATTATGGTTGGTGACACCTCACAGATGGTTTCCAAAGTCAAACTTTTCTAGCCAAGCTCATCTCGAAGGTCTCCGCACACGCCTTTACCCAGTTAGCAGACCCCCCCAAGCTCATCTCCTGAACCCACATCTCTCACTGTGGAACCAGCGCCTGATTTGCATTAGGCTCACCCTGATCTCCTTCTGCTCGTGTGTATACCAGTTGCCGTGGAGTCGACTCTCATTCACGGCGCCCCTATGTGTGCCAGAGCAGAATTGTGCTCCACGAGGTTTTCAAGGGCTGATTTTTCAGGAGTAGAGGCAGCTCTGAGTGGCCTCGAACCGCCAACCTTTCGGTTAGCAGCCAAGCGCATTAACTATTTATACCCCCCAGGGACCCCTCTGTGCATATAAGTTGTTGCTTTTATCTCCTGGTTATGAGCTGCTAGCCTTTCCTGTCTACTAGCCAAGAGAGCAAGACATGGAGGCTGCCAGCCCACAGTCTTTCCTCCATGGTTCTTCTCCAGATATTCAGCTCTCGCTGTGTAACTCTCGGCTCTGATTACAGTGCAGCGTTGCTACCCAGAGTGAAACACCCATCACAGGGGGCTATTCTGGCCTGATCTAGAATGTCAATCACACGCTGCTGTAAGGAGACTTTTCTGAGGGTCTGTGATGGCCTATATCCCTGACCCTATATTTCAAGTGAAATTGTGTGCAAATATTCAGTATCCAAAATAAACGGGACATCAGCCTGCCTTTGGCATTAACCAACTCATTAAATATAAAACAAACACAAGTAAATGGCTTTTAAATCTCACTGACAGAGAGCTTGGCAACTACTCCAAGACTCTCGAGGTCGTTGGAAACTCTTCCTTCAAACAGGAATCTTCCTCAGGCTCTGAGGGGCAGAGGGAGACTCCCATCCATGTGACGAAGGTGTTTCAGTGCCCCCTTCTGTTTGAGGGTTGCCCTGCAATGCCAGCTTCCCACTGAGAATGATAGGGCCTGTGTGAAGTGTGGCCTTTGACACAGACTGGTCACTGGGGAAGTTGATGTTACCCCTTACAAAAGGTTAGAAATTCAGGTCTAAAGCATTCAGCTTGCCACTGATTATAAATATCTAGGAATAGCCATCAAACAAACAAAAAAAAAAATGACAACAATTTAATTCTACTTGTATCAACAATCAACGTCCATGGAAGCAGCAGTCAAGAAATCAAATAGCATAGTGCATTGGGCAAATCTGCTAGAAAACACCTCTTTAAAGTCTTAAAAAGCAAACATGTCACTTTGCCGACCAAGGTGCATCTAACCCAAGCCATGGTCTTTCCAATCACCTCATGTGCATGAGAAAATTGCATAATAAAAAAGGAAGACAGAACAATTGATACATCCAAACTGTGATGCTGGCAAAGAATATTGAATATACCGTGGACTGCCAAAGAATGAACAATCAGGCTTAAAAGAAATACAACCAGAATGCTCCTTAGAAGTGAGGATGGCAAGACTTTGAATCACTTACTTTGGACACTTCATCAGGAAAGGCCAATCAACAGAAAAGAACACAATGTTTGGTAAAATGAGGGGCCAATGAAAATGAGGGAAGCCCTTAATGAGATGGATTGAAACAATAGCTGAAACACGGACTCAGACACAGCAAGGATCATGTAGACGGGTAGGACCAGACAACGTTTAGTTCTGCTATGTTAAGGTCGCCATGACAGCAACTGACAAGAGCCAGCAAATCTGACCCCTAACTTCTGGCTGATCTCCAAGAGCACACATTCACATTGGCTCCTAAATCCTGTGTGAATTCTATCTTGGGTTCTCACAGTCCCGTTAGTAGTGCTCCTTGAGGAATCCGTATTTTTGTCTCCATCTATCTGTAGTTTCAAGGAGCCCTGGTGGCACTCGGCTGTTAACCAAGAGGTTGGAGGTTTAAACCCACCCAACGGTTCCACGGGAGAAAGATCTGGCAATCTACTCCTATAAAGGTTACAGCCAAGAAAACCCCATGGAGCAGTTCTACTCTGTCACATGGAGTCGTTATGAGTCCGAATCGACTTGAGGGCACCCAGCAACAACAACAAAATCTGTAGTTTCAGCACAAAGCGGACCAGCTGGGGAAGGTGATAGCCCAGGTTATCTGGATCACTAATTCTCCACTTCATTCCAGGTGTGCAGAAAGTAAACTGCAATGATTTATCAACCAGAAAACACATACACTCGCACTTCTTAACTTGTAACTTTACCTCAAAGCTAGGCTTTGTTGTTGTTGTTAGGGGTCATCAAGTCGGCCCCCGAGTGAGGTTTACCCCATGCACAACGAAATGACACTCTGCCTGTCCTGCACCATCCCAACGAGGCGTTGCGGGTCAGACCGTTGTGACTCTGTGGTCCTCACGTTTGGAAGTAGATCACCTCTCCTTTCTTCCTAGTCCATCTTAGTCTAGAAGCTCTGCTCTGCTCAGCCTGCTCAACATCAGAGCAACACACCAGCCTTCACTGACCCCCATTATTACTGAACTCTTCTATAAAACCAACGTAAACAATGCCCGACTCCTGGGAGGAAAATAGCCTGTTTACCTGACATCCTTTCAAAGATGGGTGTTCACCTGGTTCCACCCAGGTGTAGAATTATTGGTCAGAATTGTTGATTTTGCCCACTCACCTTTCAAAGTCTGACTTTTTGCCAAGAAGTTAGTAAGACTTGCAACTAGGCAAATTACCTTCTATTTATTTACCTTTTTGAAGCATTGTTGAAAGATTGGGTCAACTTCCCTACACAATCAAAAGGCACAGTGTCAATGAAAGATATACTTCGTCATATCCTAGTGTTATAATGGTCAGCAGACAAATTAGATACTTATTTTTCAATGCACTTACATGTTTGCCTTTTCACCTTTTAAAGATTTTCAGTGATTTATTTCAAATCTTCTCATCCACAGATTTAAGAACTTTTCACCCACAATTTGAGATGGTCAGGAGCTGACGAGATGAATGACGTCCAGTCATGAGCTGATAAGACTAGCAAGGAGGCAGCCCAGCCACCTTCCTGAGCACTTGTAGGGATCAAACACCTGCAGCAGAGAAGCAGAGAGCACCTGCAGGTCTCACCACTTCCTTTTTTTAAAAAAATTTTCCAGGATACAAGTAAACCAGTACCAGTTGCCATCTAGTCAACTCTGATTCATGGTGACCACACGCGTGTCAGAGTAGAACTGTACTCCGTAGAGTTTTCAATGGCTGATTTTTTGGAAGCTGACTGCCAGGCCTTTCTTCTGAAGTGTCTCTGGGTGGACACGAACCTCCAGCCTTTGAGTCAGCACCCAAGCACGTTAACTGTTTGCATCACCCGGGGACTCCAATCTTCCAGGATAGACAAATAAAACCCACTTAAGGCACTTTTTCAATCTTTTTAATAGCATGAGCTGAACTGTCATTCAATGCCACTAGGTGGCACCTTCTCTTCTCAGGACCATTTCTTTTCGTTCTTCTATTAAGAAGGGTCACTGTGGGGTCACTATGAGTTGGAATCGGCTCAAAGGCAGTGGGTATTGAGAAAGGCACCATCCAGTCCCTGGACAACATCACACAGCATCCCAGACAACAGCAAATGAGGGGCCATTCCCTCTCTGGTGCCACTGTTGACTCTGATGTCTTTAGAAAGGCTCAGAATCACAACGGAATATGCTTGATATTTTGCTTCTTGGCAAGGGAGTTTCTGTTGGTTTGTCTTGCTTTTTGCATGACCCAGATCGAGTCTGGCAACAACACTACTCTTGTGCACTGATTTTCCACCCTAACATTTCCGCTGTCCTCAGCCAGGCGGCACTGCCTGCTGTGAAGGATCCATGAAATCCTGATGGACGCTGCCTGAGATGCGACAGTGCCAGATCCAAGAAGATCTTTGAAAAATTAACATCATAGTGTTTTCTGAAAGTCAGGTTCTTTAAGCCCTTTTAAAAGCTAGCATGGGACTTGACATGAGACAGAGAATAATGGAATGGCATTCTAGCCCTCCTTGGGGGAGCTATTTAATTTCCACTGAATGCTCAATGCATAGGGGTAATAAAACATTCTAGCACATTATTTTGGTCCTCCCTTTCATTCTTCCTCTTTTTGTTCTTTTTCCCTAAGGAGTAGTAATGAGATGACAGAGGTTACCATTCTGGGTAGGTGAAGGCAGAGGACGGAGAAAGAATTATTCCACAATCATAGTTAAACAAGGAGTTTTCAGAATCCTGTCTTATGGTTGAAGTGACTTACTGAAATCCTGCTGAGTTATCCAGACTGTGTCTTTTGTTTTGTGCAGTGGGAATTGAGAGACACTGAGACAAAGTCCGTGAGAACAAAAACGTTGAAATCACAGATCTGAAAAAAATGTTGAAGTGTCAGTTCCAAAACACAGAGCTCCAGGTGTTGTCATTTTTAAGGTCACGTCCAAGACGTACAAGATCTGCTACTGGCCCAGCAGGTACACGGGGTCTCCCACTTTGATTATCCCTGGGTTTTCCAGAACAAAATATTGTCCAAAGAGAGGTGATTTTCCATATAACTTTTTTTCAGAAGGGTCACACAGGCGATAGCTGCAATAAGAGAAAGATCATGGTCAGTCAGTCAAAAGAGCAAGAGTTCAAACAGTACATGGTTTCCTCTTGGCTGAGATGAGTAGTCACCCCACACAGGGCCGCCATATTGCACAGCTCCAGAGCACCATTCCCATCAAAGTCCAATGGAACAGTGACCCCTGGAGTTGTGCATGGAACAGCTCGCCCAGTGCACCAACTGCAGAAGCCTAACCAATGTCCATATTCCCCCATCTTTTCTCTATGTCAGTGTTCCCTTTTCCAGCATTAAGAGATTTTTACCAGTTGTCATTGTCGAGTCAATTGCGACTCACGGTGACCCATGTGTTTCAGAACAGTGCTCCATAGGGTTTTCAAAGGCTAATTTTTCAGAAGTAGATCACCAGGCTTTTCTTCCAAAGCATCTCTGGGTGGACTTGAACTGCCAACCTTTCAGTTAGCAGCTGAGCGTGTTAACCATTTGCACCACCCAGGAACTCCATTAAGAGATTGCCACACACACACAAAAAAAAACCTATTGCTGTCTAGTGGATTCCAACCATGGCAACCTCCTGTGTTACAGAGTAGAACTGAGCTCCATAGGGTTTTCTTGGCTATACTCTTCATGGAAGCAGATTGCCAGGTCTTTCTTCTGTGGCACCACTGGGTGGGTTTGAACTGTCAACCTTTTCAGTTAGTAGCCCAGGGCAAACGTTTTACGCCAGCCAGAGACCCGTTAGGTACTCAGTATGCTCAGTCACCCCTTGTGGCCTTCCTTTCCCGAGGTGCCCTTCCCTCTGACTCTGCCATTTCACTTCTGTCACTGCCATCCTTCCAGTCACTCAAGCTCACAGTTCTGGAGTCATCGTTTATACCCTAATTCGGTGCTGAATCCTGAAGTTCTTCCTGTACAACATCTTTTGAATTTGCTTGCTTTTTCCCAATCCCACTGCCAAGCATGCTCACACTATTGCAGTAACTTCCTAACCAGTCTCTTTTCTTTATTCTCTCCCTCTTTCAATTCAGTGTTGACACTCTACTATATTGCGTTCTTCATTTTGTTCTGGTCTTATCGCTTATAGGCTCAGAAGCTTTCAATGGCCCCCCAGTGCCCAAAGAATAACATTCCAACTCTTCATCCTGGCGTGCAAGACCCTCTACCTGGCCCCAACTAGCTTTTTCAAGCCTGTCACCCCTGCTTGCTATATGAAACTATGCGGCACTCCATTACACTGCTCTTCCACCTGGTTTGTATTTCACTGGCTCTGTGATTTCTCTGTGATGCCTGTGGGATGCTCCACCTCCAGCTCTCCATGCATTCGAGTCCTACCTTTTCCTCCAGGCCCAACTCAAACGCCACATCTCCCGGGAAGGAAGCCCACAATTCCCCAGCCAGAAGCAACGTCCCCCTCCTCAATTCTCTCGGGCGCTTGAACACTGACAGGTCTTGCCCTGTAGAGTCAGGGTGCATGTCTTATCTGTTCTCAAGACTGGGAGTCCCTAGAGAGCAGGAGCTACGTCTGGCTCCCTAGTACTGCTCACACCCAGTGCTGGGCCTCACAGGTCACCAGTGACCCGTAAGTGTTTGCTGAACAGATGAAGGTGCAGGTGAGTAAAATTCCTTTTTACAGACAGTACGGGTATCTTTGTCAGGCAGAAGATACAAAAACCTTGGTAAGAGCGCACGTGAGCAGATGAGTGGGAGTAACACAGCAGATCCAACCACCTCCAGGGAAGAGTGCTCCGTCAGTTTCTCATCGAAGCTAACCCCAAAGTTACATCATTTTTACACACAAAGACAACTTATAGAAAGCATTACTTTCATTTCACCTTGCTTTAAAAATACAAAAACATTGCCACAGCTGAATTCTAATTTTATTCTCCAAATCAGGAATTGCGAATGAGGAAGCCAAAAAACACAAAAACCACACCCGCTGCCATAAACTCAATTCCAACTCATAGCGACCCTATAGGACAGGGTAGAACTGCCACTTAGGGTTTCCAAGGAGCAGCTGGTGGATTTGAACTGCCCACCTTTTGGTTAGCAGGCGAATGCTTAACCACTATGCCAGCAGGGCTCCAACGGGAAAACAAAGTTAAATCTAGAACCTCCTTCTGGAGACTCTCAGCTCCTCTCCCAGCCTGTGAGTGTCACATGGGCAGACAGCGAGTCTGTCCACTGCTGTATTCCCATGGCCTGGCACAGTCCCTGGGGCATCGTAGCCACTAAAAAAATGTTGGATGAACAAATGAATGAATAAGTAAACAAATGAATGAATAAGTAAACAAATGAATGAAAACAATGGGCATTCCCCCGGCCCATTATCAAGTTTCTGCCATGACCCTGGGAACCCATCCATCTGTCCCGCTGGCTTTGCCTCTGTAGCACGCAATACCAGAAACACTGGTGTCTGTGTCTGTCAGAAGGTAGCCTCTTTAGGATAAGGGGAAGATCGGCTGCTATTACGGCTTGCGATTTCATTGGCTGTTGCTGCAAAGCTCTGTACTCTGGGGTCACCAGCTCTAGTTAGCTAGGGCGGGAACTGTGAGTTGGAGTTCTGGGCACTATACATTTCCATAGCACTTGGAAGTTCATATACTTGTATATATAGAGAGACAGAAAGAGAGACAGAGAGAGAGGAACAGTTGCTGTGGAGTCAATTCCGACTCATGGCGACCCCATGTGTGCACAGTAGAACTGCTCCATAGGGTTTTCAACGGCTGTGACCTTTCAGAAGCAGATGGCCAGGGCCCTCTTCCAAGGTGCCTCTGAGTGGGTTTGAACTTTTTTGGTTAGTAGTCAAGCACTTAACCATTTACACCACCCAGGGACTATATGTGACATATATATGCATACACACACACACACACATATATGTATGCATATATATATACACACACACTTCTAAAAAAAAAACCAAACCCAACCCGTTGCCGTTGAGTTGATTCCAACTCATAGTGACTGTCTTAGGCTGGGTTCTCTAGAGAAGCAAAACCAGTAAAGTGTATAAATATATATAGAGAGAAAGATCATATCAAGGAAACAGCTCACGCGAGGCTAGAACATCCGAAGTCTGTGGATCAGGGTAGAGGCCTCTCCCAAGTCACACAGACTCAGAAGCTGGCAAGCCCAAGATCGGCAGGTCAGAGAGCAGGGCTCCCACTCACAGGCTATGAAGATCGATGAAACCCAGGTTCAGCAGATAAGCTGACAGCTCAAGTCCCAAGAACAGGAGATGAGACAACAGGAAGCAGCCGCAGGATCCAGAGAGAGCAAAAAGCCAGAACGTCTGCTTATATACAGATGCGGGCCACACCCCCAAGGAGATTCCCTTTCATCTGATTGGCTACTCGCAGTATATTCAATCATGGCAGTGATTACATTAAAACACTGAGAATCATGGCGCAGCCAAGTTGACACAATCTTAACCATCACAGGGACCCTATAGGACAGAGTAGAACTGCCCCATAGGGTTTCCAAGGAGCGGCTGGTGGATTCCCACTGCCGACCTTTTGGTTTCCCACACACCAGGGTTTCCCACACACTTCTGTACTATAAATTTATAATACGTACTTCAGGTACATGATCTCCTTTAATCCTTACAACAACCCTGTGTGGGAACTTGTGTTGTCGCCCATTTTCCTGCTAAGCCTCAGAGAGGTAACCGACTTGCCCAAGATCACGGGTCTCAGAAGTGCTCAAACTGGGGCCAGAACCCAGGTCTGTCTAGGTCCACATTTAAGGCTCTTCCTACCCCAGAATATAATCCCTGGTCATTTACCTACCTCCTGAGTACACAAAAATGACTTGGGCAAAGCACAGGATTGAGAAGGACTGAGGGGTTCAATAATTTATTCGAGGAGCCCTGATGGTGCAACAGTTAAGTGCTTGGCTGCTAACCAAAGGTGGGTGGTTAAAACTCGCCCAACAGCTCCACAGGAGAAAGACCTGGCAATCTGCTCCTGTAACGTTCCACTCTGCCACACGGGGTCACTATGGGCTGAACTAGACTCTATGCACCTAACAACAACAACAACACCTGACTCATCTACACGAAAGTGTAGCCACTCACCTCAGGGGTTTCATCTACCCCCTTCCCATCAACCACACACATACATGCTCACTCGCCAGCCAGGTAACTTAGGAGCGGAGGATCCAGAAGAGCTGCTTCCTCCGGTCCTGCCCCTTTAAGCTGGGAGGGTGGGGATTAAGGGGAGAAAGGAGGACAGTAATGGCAAAGGTCTAGTACCTGGTTCGCTGGTGGCCGCTCAGTTCACTGTTGGGGAGGAGAGATGGAAAGAGCTCTAGGAGAAATGGTTCTTGGCTGGCCTAGCCTCTCGGGGTTTCCCTACAGTGTGTGTATGTCTGGCCCAGCCTCTCAGGGTTTCCCACCGTGTGTGTATGTCTGGCCCAGCCTCTCGGGGTTTCCCACCGTGTGTGTATGTCTGGCCCAGCCTCTCGGGGTTTCCTACAGTGTATGTATGTCTGGCCCAGCCTCTCAGGGTTTCCCTACAGTGTGTGTATGT